TACATTTTTGCCCAACTCTGATAGGAAGTATTATGCTATCGTTTCCACACCACCTTGCGGTAGATAACACAGTGCATTTTTTTTTAAGTGGTATCCCGAATAGGTCTAATCCACTCTCATATTTTAATGTAAAAATTGTTCGAAGTGCCTTCCTCATTCTCGTAAACAGAGTTCGGCTCTTCGAGTAATATTGCGCGTCGCGCGATACGCCATTTCCGGCGTGATGGTATTAAAAGCTGCGAGAATTGCTTCTCGTACTTCAGCTTCTGTACCATCACGCCTGTGTTCGACTAAATTTTTTATGTGACCCCATACAAAATAATCTAAAACATTAAAGTCTGGCGATCGCGCCGGCCAAATGATTGGGCCACCTCGACCCATCCATCTGTCCGGATAATGCGCGTTTAAATATTCGCGAACCCGGCGAGCGAAATGCGCAGGAGCCCCGTCATGCTAGAAGATGAGTTTATTTCTTATATTAAGAGGAACATCTTCGAGGAGAATGGGTAACTCGTTTTGGAGGAAGTTTAAATATATTTCCCCATTTAAATGTGGCGGTAGGAAATAAGGACCAATCTGAAAATCACGAAAGAAAATGATATATTAAAGCTGCGAAAGAAAATTCCTTGATTTACTAAAATTTACTACTTACGACTCGGTTCGCTGTTATTCCTGCCCATACATTTATCGCCCATCGATATTGGAACGAGCATTCCCGAACGGCGTGCGGATTGTCTTCCGCCCAATATAAATAATTACGACTATTAAATACGCCGTTCGGGGTGAAAGTTGCTTCATCCGTCCATAAAATTCGGTCGGGGAAAAAATCGTTTTGCCGACACTGAGCGAGAAATCCTGTGTATGTTAACTGTTAATATATATTTTTTTAATAACACAAAAATATTAATTGAAAATGATAAGAATACCTTCAGAAAAATAGATGCGCTGTTCTGCATCTCTCGCCAAAAGTTGTTGTACTCGTTGATAGTGATACGGGTGCAATCCGTTTCGGCGTAGAGTACGGTGTACCACTTGTCGAGATAGACCGAGCATATGAGCTACATGGCGCACGCTATTTCCGGGGTTCTCCTCAAACTCTCTTAAAATTCTTTCTTCGTCGTTTACACCGTAATGCATTGGTGCACCAGCGTTTCGACGATTTGGAATAAAAATTCCCGATTCTCTAGCGCGTTGGACACATCTTAAAATAACATTCGAATTGGGATGTCGCTCACGGTCGGGAAATCGCTCCGCGTAGAGACGAGCTGCGGCACGTGCATTTTCGTCGGCTGCTCCATATACGATAATCATATTGGTATACTCTTCTGCAGTATATTTCGTCATTTTTCACTTTTTTTACGAGTCGTACACGTCGAATGTTGGGCGCCTACTGTGGTGAAGCAACAAATAACGATCGAAAAGAAATGACCGATAACAAATGAACGCTGTTGACTTTTTACGAACGTTTATTTTTTTCAAACGCGTGTGCCGCGGCTTGTCTTTATGCGGAACAATTCTCTGTTCGCACGTTGATCATGTAATTTGATATTCTTGTACTCAGTCGCAATCACACGCGCTCGATACCGAAAAACATC